GGGTGCGGAGGACCTTTGAGACGGGCCTGTCCGCTTCACTGGAGCTCGTGTCTCGTTAAGCTGTCATCCCGTCCACCAACCAGGGTAAGCTTTTTATCGAGGCTTGGATAAGATGTCGCGATACCGTTTTTATGTGAAAGTATTTCTGACCGGAATTTTGACGTGATTTAAAACAATGAGATGTTTGAAATGAAATTGTCTGCATCACGCACTAGAAATCATTTACCTGCATAGCAAAGCAGCGATTCAAGCACGCGGTGACATTGATGACATTTAGAAAAGTGTGTCACACCCAAGTCGACCCACATTCTGTCAGTGACACGTGACATGTTGGCCCCTGCGGTAACCTTTGAACGCCGGCTGACGTTTCGTTCGGGTGGCGTCCGTTCCGTCCGGTCGCCCCGGGCGGACCGGTCAGGTCAACCTCAGGTCAACCGACCCGCGTTTCGGCTGTTTTCCGGAGGCCTCTGGCAGGTCTGGCCGTCTAGCTGAACCGAGGGACCGTTTACGTTATGCAACCCCGAACTATTGCGGTTCAGTGCAGTATTTTGATAGTCCTGTTTGCGCCTGTCTTCATATGTCCCGCTGAGTTATATCGACAAGAACAAGGACGTCAGCTGTGTCTTCTCATCGTCCCATCCTATCGTCCCGTGGTTGTGCCTCTGGTCAGGCATGCCTCTGAACCCTCCAGACACAGGCAAACGGTGTCAGCCGTCCGCCGCTACCACCGCGGCTGGGTGCGCCTGTGATCAGCTGTTCCTCCGAACCCCGCAGACACGGTGTTGTCTCACATCGGTGTCAGCTGTTCGCCGCCTCCGCTGCGGTGCCTGGGCGCGCCGCTGATCAGCTGTGGCGCCGAGTGCTGTTGACACGGACACGCGTATCACCTGTTTTCCGATGACTCGGCCCGGCCGCTGAACTGTGAACCGTCGTTTTTTGTGGGCCTCGCTGGTGCGTCATTAGGTTAGGCGCTGCGATTATGGAGGCACGCGGCGGACGTGTGTTTGGCCGCGGCCGGCCTGACGTAAACCACGCGAATATGCCCCGCCAGCTGTGAACGTGTGCCGCCAGCTGGGATAGCTCCGACCGTTCCGTGCGTACGTGGTGCCTCTGTGTTGGGTAAGGGGCGAAGGGAGAAGCACTGACCCCCCCCCCCCCCCCACTTCTCGTGAAGTGTAGAATTAACCCTGTGGTTACGCGTGGCAGGAACTGACCTCAAATGAGAAGTTCTTCCCCCTCTTATTTTGTTCCCTTTGACGCACGCGGTGTCAGTAATGCATCCTTGGTTTTGGCTTCTCTTTGTCTCACTGAAACAGCGAGGGCAGTCCAGTAATGCGTTGCGCCCTCTTCTCCCCGCGGCTCCCTCCTGTTCGCGGCGTTTCTCGATCCGTTGCGATCGTTGTAGTAAATCCAGGCTCGCTGCCGTACTCGGTGAGCCTAGTTTCGCAGAGTAGATCCGTCTTCTTACGGTTCAGCTGTCCGTGCTTATCGGAGAGCGTTGGTTTTATTTCCCTCACCTTTGACCTAGTCGTAGCCGTGTGCCGACTTACCCACCAGAAGGCGCCCAGTCTCGCTTGACACGCCCTCACGAATCTCGTTACGACCGACCTGCCGAGGAGTCCTGTCGCGCTGTCGGTCCACAGCTGACCCCAGCTGTCCCCGCTCGGGCCCGCCCTCCGTGGGGCACGCCGGCACCGCGCGGCGCGCTCCGTAGCGCCCCGCTCCGCCAAGCAACGGCCCCGACCCGCCGCCCGGCCAAGCAACGGCCCCGATCCCGCCCGGCCAAGCAACGACCCCGGCCCGCCGCCCGGCCAAGCAGCGCCGCCCGACCCGCCCTGCCAAGCAGTGCCGCCCGACCCGCCCGGCGAAGCAGCGCCGCCCGGCCCGCCGCCGGTCCTTCCCCGGCGCCGGACCGGGCGGCGTCCGTGTCGCTGATGATTTAGCCGCCTCGGCAAACATCTGTAGGCCGCATATGGGGCGGGCTCGGGGCCGGTGGCCGAGCGCTGCCCGCTGGACGTCCGCAGATGGCCAGAGTCGCTCGGCTGGCTGGCCGCCGGCGGCCCGGTCCAGCGGAGAACGACGCTCTCGGAGACGGCGCTGGGGACCGACAGCTGTCTCCGTGGTAGGCTGCCGCTGTTGACCGCTGTCTCCGGTGGTCACTTTTGGGTGGTCTGCCCTCTGCCATGGGCGGAACGTTACTTCTGATTGTGGTGCAGCTTTATCTCCAGCGTTCAAAAAAGCTTCTGGTAAAAGGCTCAGCTGTACATGAAAGGCTCGGCTGTACATGGAAAGATCACGGCGCAAATCCCGTCCGATTGTTTCTGTTCGATTCCGGTTTTCTTCGGCCGGCTGTTCTCTGTCCGTTTTCTCCAGTCTTTATCATCTCTGCCCGTCTCTCGCCATTGCGGTTGTCTCGGCCTGTTGTTTCGTAAATGGTCATCATTTGAGCGAATGACATGCCGACACAGTTCGTTTATCTCATCACTGGCGCCAACAGGACGGTGGATGTGCACGCACGCCCCATCTCATATGGATGTGGAAAATGGCGGAGGGACTGTGAAAAATCGGCAAAGCGAACGAATCTTGACTGAACGGAAATTGATGTACGATCTGGTGACGAACTGTTCTTCGTTTCATGTAAGGGAACCCGTGCCTATATTGCTGTTTTGAGACACCACTTCGCTGGAAAAGTATGCGGTCACCTCGCGTGACCCACCGCCAGCAGAGGACGGCGGCATGAAAGCCACGCTGGACGCTGTCGGGACCTTCTTTGAACTCCGCTGACCGCACCCGTTAACTGACGGAGCGTGCTAAACACGGTCGCCCGGCAACCGGCACCACGCGGGGCGGGGTGCACGCCCCTGCAACATTGCAACGCTGCATCGCATAAGCTCGGGTGAGGGAGGATATCAACCGGGTGCTCACGGGGCGCGAGTTCTCGATGCTCTGGGCCGATGACGGCATTTTGTACCTGATGACACGTCCGAGAACCGAGCGGTGTGTGCGGATTTGAGGCCTCGCGGCCGACTGCAACTATGCCGACGCTAACCGAAAGTGATGGATGATTGGACTGACATGGCGCGGCTTGACACTAAGCAGACGCTCTGGTGACGCATGCGCCGTCTGATCGACCGTCTGCCGAGCGTCGCCGCTCTTTGTTGCGGTGAGGCTGTCGAGTCCATGTCATTTTGACCTTCACGTCGTCACCATCCCAATCAACAATCCACAGCCTGTCAGATCCCGGCAGGCGGCTGCCAGCGCCGGCAGCGGCCCGCGTTTTGAGCACGGATCGGCTGTGCGGAGCCGTGGTCACGTGTACGCCGATGCTGTGCGCCTCTCGCTGCCGCCCAGCTACTGTGCCGGCGTCGTCGGCATCTCACGCGTGTGTGATGGGCCTCTATCGCAGTCACCGTCTGGGGCTCATCCGTGTGGCATTATCCGAGCCACATAGGACGTTCGCGTGGCACGGATGGGGCCCTTGTCGCGCAGACATCGTCCGTGTCTTGCAGACATGGTTCGCGCCATGCAGACAAGGTCTGTGTCGTCGCGCCCTCCATGTTCTTGCGGTGTGGGCAGAGTGGCTGGGTGACCCCTGTTGACCCAGAGCGGCTAAGTGCTTTACATGGACACTGCATGACCTCGAAGTCGCGTTCTGACTCCCCAGCATCAGCACCTGATGTTTTGCGCCGATGTTTTATCTTCGCCCTGATGTAACGCACAAATACACACGCACGCCTGGACAAATTATGGCCTGGTGATTTGCGACTTTCAGGGCGCACCGACCGCACGCCTGTGCGTTGTGTGATGTGCGGTATGACAGCGTGACCTCGTGTGTAATGATTGTACGCGCCGCGCCAAAGGCCTGGGTCAGAATGATAATGACCGTACGAAGCATGTCAGCGGAGAGGTCACGGCCAGAGTAATAATGATAATGCACTGCACGGCGTTGGAGCAGACTGAGTCGAATGAGACCTGGTTGACTCGTCAGTCGCATGCGGAGAGCTCGTGTCAGCGACAGTCCCCTGTTGATCATCGCGAGGCGGCCTTACCACGCGAGCCGGCGCGGTTTCAGCCCTCCCCGCCATCTGTGTGCTATCACCAGCGTCTGACTAGACTTCCCGATCGAGGGGCGCGGGTATCATCACGTGCGATCCGCACGCGTGGGCTGGCCTCTCGTGTTGACAGTGGCGCTGCCGGCACTGCTCTGACCCGAGCCGAGGTCAAGCTCCCGGCTCCGGCCGCGTGGGATTCCCCAGGCTGCTGATCGCCGGCTGGCGTTACAGTCTGCAAAGTGGATCACAGGGGCTGATTGCCAGGCTCAGATAATGGGTCGTGTTGGCTGGCCGAGGCCTTGCAGGTGCCAGGCCGAGCATGCATAGCCGTCTGACCTCCGCATGACCCCTTCCCACCCTGCCTGACGGTGTCTGAAACTGTGCACTGACAGAGACGCGCCACTGGCCTCGCATTGCGGAGTTGGATGGGGGCCTTGTCGTGTTTGAATGCGTTCCATTCCACGCAAGGATAAGGCTTTTGAAGTCGTTTCAATTCCATGCAATGCCATGCGCATACTGGCAAATGTCGCAAAAGTTCGGAGAGACGTGCTCCGCCCCACCCTCCGTCCTCCGCCCTGTCACCGTTCCCGGGACATGCTCCGCCCCGCCTCCCGCCCTCGCCACCCTTAGAGGTCACACGAGACTGCGCCGGGGACCAGGGTGGGCCGGCCAGCGGTGCCGGACGCGCTGCTCCCGCCGCCCGTAGAGGTCACAGGGTGATGCAGCAGGAAGGGCGGCAAGCTGCTCCAGGGGGGAGGCTGGTGTAATGAGGCTGGGGGGACGCTCCTCATTCACTGCGGTTGTGACGATGCAGATGTGGCTTGCAGGAGGTCTGCTTTGTGGCGGTGTGCCGCTTTAGTTTTGGGATTGCCGTTAAGGCGTGACGCTGCCGGTCGTGAAAATCAAATTCGCATTGGCTGTGACTCCGCGTCTGACCACCTGGATTTCTTTTCAGATGAGAGAGATGCCATACAGAAGAAGACGTTCACAAAGTGGGTTAACAAGCATTTGAAGAAGGTAAGCCCGCCGGCGTGTGCTGCTGGCTCGCTGTCCGTTTTCTTACGTCACTGGTCACGGCTGGGTCACCGAGGGGTGCTGTGCAGTCTGAATCATGCCTTTCAGGTGTGCTCTTCGTGGATGTGGCCTCCCGGTGGTGGTGGGTCGGATTATTTCATGTGAAAATCTGATCATCTCTTTCATCACCAAGCCCATGTTTTTTTCGTTCCCCAACGGATTTCTCCGTCAGTGCCAAAATCGAACCTACAACAGCTGCGTCATTCCCATAGACGTGCTTACCTGCTGAGAGCAAGTTACACCCTTACCGAAACACGTTAGTCGTCTTCGTCCCGCCGGCCGTCCTCGGAGACTGCCGCGCGCACAAAACGGTAACACCGGCCGTTGGCGCGGGCTGCCGCGTCAAGGTCACCGTCGGCCGGGATCGTCCTCTGTTGACTCTGCGCATTCTCTCGCGCCCATGGCGGCCGGCGCTGACCCGGCGCTGGCGGGAGGCGTCGAGCCGCCGCGGGCCCCAAGCCGTCTGTCGACCGTGTCGGCCGACGAGTTATACTCACGGCGGTCGAGGGCTGGCATTAGCCGGAGTAATATCATCAAACGGCGGGCGCGCAGCAGCGGCGCTGCCGCTAATCACGGGTAATAATACGGCGCCGGCGCCGGCGTGCCGTGACTCCGCTCCCGGAGAGGCCGCGGACTGGCGGCTGACGGCTGACGGCTGACGGCTGACGGCTGGCTACTAACGACTGACGACACTGGCTATTGACTGGCGACTGGCAACTAATGACTGACTCAGAACTGAATAACGACGGACGATTGGTGATTGGCAGCTGGCGATTGACGACTGACGAATGACAGACTGGCGACTGACGACTGACGACTGCCGACATACTGACTGAGCTGACTGACTGACTGACTGGCTGGCTGGCCTGGCTGGCTGGCTGGCTGGCTGGCTGGCTGGCTGGCTGGCTGGCTGGCTGGCTGGCTGGCTGGCTGGCTGGCTGACTGACTGACCAACTAGCCGACTGCCCAGCCAACAGAGCGGCGGATTGCTGGGCCACCGGACGGCCCGACGAACCGGGGTCACCACTTTTCTCCTGCACTCTCAAAGAGCTGCGGTCTGCGGGCGGCTGAGAGCTGCAGTGGTACTTATCAGCCAACTGGCCTTGCACGTCCACCTAGTTGGGGGGTAACGTGAAAGGTCATGATCCTCGAGCGTCTAAAAATAGCTGCGCTGGTTATGCTGATTAAATGGGGACGGCGCGGCCAATGCCGTTCGCGCGACCTACGAGGCAGGCGTGTTACTAGTTCCCGCTTGGCTCCATGCCAACAGTCGCGACCACGGCCTCTGGCGCTCCGCGAGCCTCCCCAGGAGTGGGTCGAGCCTGCTGGCCGGTCCCGGCCGGCGGCGCCAGCGCCGACGCCGGCCGCCAGCCGTCCCGGGTCGTAAATGCGGGTGTGACGGGTCGGCAGACGCCGCGGGCGACCGACACCGCCCGGATGGCGCAAAATCACCCGCACAGTCGAAGCGCTCTTTGACATCAGTAATCATCAAGCGGAATGTTAGGCGGCTCGGGATGCTCGCTGTCGGGAGACCCTCGGCGCGATGGCGTTATTCACAAACTCAGCTGGTGAGGCGGCCGTCCCCTCGCTGCGATTCAGTGTCAGAATGACGTCCTCCACGGGTGGTCGGCAGCCGGCCAGTGTCCGCTGAGCGGACAGATGAAACGGGCCGCTGCAGCGCCGTTGACGCGGGCCGGGCCTGGGCGGCGCCGGCCGTCCTGACGCCGGGGGACGGACCAGGAGGCGGGCCGGTCTCACCTGTCCGCCCCGGACGGGCGGGCGCCCGCAGCTCGGCCAAATACGGCCGCCCGCCCCAGTCGCCCCGGTCGTCCCGGCCGCCGACCCGCCCCGGTTAGCGGCCGGGCGGGTGACGACGGCGACCGGCTGACGGCCGGGGCCCGGTCCGGCGGGGCCTAGCCCGCCGACGAGTGGGCCGGCGAGGCCCGGTCTGCCGACGGTGTCGCGTGCCGCGACGACGGCGCCGACTCGCGTGCGAGAACGGGTTCGCCGGGCTGGCGGCGGGACTCGTTGGTACAGGCGGGTGCGCGCAGCGGAGGGCGGGCGGACAGCGGACGTGCTCACCGCTGACGCACCCCCGGTGCGGACAGGAGCTTTGCTCCACATGCCAAACAACAGAAGCGGCTGCCAGCCCAGAGCGGCGCCTGACAGCGGGCTCTGCCGTTCGCCAATGCCGGATAACGGCACTAGCACTGATCCCTCGTGCATCCGTTCGGGATCGCGGGCTCCCGCCACGTCAGCTGAGCTCTGTTTGCGGCCGGCGGCGGCGTCGGGCCGTCCGAGGGCGGTTGTTTGCTGGCGGTGGGTGGTTGGCGCCGGTGAAGGGTTAAGCTCCAGCGATTGGCATGCGCTGACTGGGCGGCGGCCGGCCTTTCTGCCGCTTGGCCCCGCCATTGGTCGACAAAGTCGATGATGAGGCGCCTGCCGTGGCACATGAACATCGCCCGCGTGTTCAGTTTGATTTGCAGCTTTGTAGGAAGACTGCTGCCACCTCCTGGCTGAGGCACCACACTGGGCTCGGAAGCGCGCTCCCCATAGGCAAACGCCGTCCAGGATGAGCTAACGTGGCGGCACGAATGACGAGGTCACAGCTGGCCGTACGAGCTGTACACTGGCGCGCGCATGGCATAGCCGCCTGTGACGTCACAGTGTTCTGCTGCGAGGAACGGGACGGCGCTTGCCAATGAAGACCGGGTCGCTGCCGGCCATGACCATTTATGCTGGTTGGGTGCCGCCCAAGCGCCTCTGGGAGCAGCTATTGGGCCATCCCTCCTGTTCATCTACTGGGCCATTCCTCCTGCTCCTGTTGCTGGTTCGTGCGAGCGCAGTCAGCAGCGCGCCCCCGGCTCAGCACCGCTGTGAGGGACCGAGGGAGCCCCGCCGGCCGCTCAGCCCGGGCCGCTGCCGCGCGCGGCGCGCCCTCGGCTCAGCACCGCTGTGAGGGAGCGAGGGAGCCCCGCCGGCCGCTCAGCCTGGGCCGCTGCCGCGCGCGGCGAGCTCGGCCGCTGCACGGGACGGAGCCGCCGAGGCGTGACCGAGGCTGCCGGCCGTCCGGACGGCTCCGGCTGCGGCGCTGACGGGCCGCCAGGCGGCGCCGGGCCGTCCGGACGGGGAGGGGCTGACACACGGGACAGGTGCCGCGGTGGCACGTGACCTGCGGCGCGCCGCTCTCAGTGGCCGGGCCTGCAGCGGGGTCGCTGGAAGTGCGGTGCGAAGTCCGGTGGTGGGCTGCACGCCGCCGGCGCGTCCCCCGGTACAGCTGGACCAGCAGGCCCCGACGGACTGACATGCTCGAAGCTGGTCCACCGGAACATTAATCTTGGTTGCGGTCGGCTGCCGCGCGGTTCACGGCATCCGTGTTTTGACTGCGGCGAGAGTCGTACTCAGATGTCTTGAATTCGAGGCGCCTTGTCGTCAGCACCACGAGGTCGTCCTGGTGATGGAATCAGGGCTGCAGGGAAGGCCGGGTGGCGCGAGCCCCCTTGTTGAGTTCACCCTCATAACTGTGCCGGAATTTAGTGTTGCTTACACCGTTACCGCGTGGCCTCCTGGAAATGCCGCCACAACGTGAGCGCTGCCTCTTTTCAAAGGTGACGTAAGCACACACAGCGCGCATACCTGCTGTTCGCGTCCTCGGGTAATCCGTCATCCTCAGCAACATGTGTCACCTTCCGGCGGTGAGCAGGCGGTACGGCCGCCTGGAAATCCACCTCTGAGCCGGCCGCTCAGCGTCCGGTGACGTCAGAGGCCGGTGTGGCCCGGGACTGGGCGAGCCGGAGGCGCTCCTGTGGCGGTGGCGTTACCCCGGCCCGACCGCGGCGCGGTCAGCGCACGTCTGCTCCCGACGGCGCAGGCTGGCGGAGCGGCTCCGCTGTGGCGGCGGCTGCGGCCAGCGCCGGCGCGGCGCGCGCGACACGCTGCTCTGAAAGCGGAGCAAGGAGGTGGCGCAAATTTGGTTGTGGACCATGTTTGGGGGCCCACGGCCTCGTTACCCCCTCCCCTGTTCTGTCTCGGGCTTCGGGCCGCACGTGCGTCCGCAGCCGTGCGCAGCCGCCCGAGGTGGCGGCGGTCGCCCGATGGTGCGCTCCGGTCCTGTTGCATCACGGCGGCGCACGTCCGCCGTGGTTGGGCCGTGACGCTGACGACCAACTGGGTCACGAGCCATCGCTCCGGGCCAACGAGTAGCCGCGCGCCCGCAGCCCTCCGCTGTTGCAAGCCCGGTGAAATCAGCTGGCGCGCTTATTTGCGCCGGCGCACGATGACTGGCGCGCTTTTCTGTCTGGTAAGCATTTCAACTCCCCGGTTAGTTGTTGGACCCCATCGCTTCCCTTCACATCGTCCCGGACAGAGCGGCCGATGGCCCAGGCCCTCGTGTCGTGATTGTCCTGTCTGATCGGCGGAATGTCGTAGTTATTTATGTTTGTCATGATTCCCATTTGATTACTTTGTGCAGAAGTTCAAGGTGACATATTTTAGGCGCTCAAGTGGCGTTGTACTTGAGGTGATCTATCTTAATAATGCTCGCTTTCTTGTTCCATTTAGGTAACATATAATATGCCAGTACATGTAGCGGGCAGACGTTATCAAAACCACACGGGCAGTTACACATAGTTTGCAGTAGGTCGCCGTACCGCGCCAGCCTGTGGAGGGGGAGGGGGAGGGGCCTGGGAAGAGTGGATGAACCATGGCTAATCGGACCCCTGTTCCGAAGCGTTTGACTACACGGCCACTCGTGTGAACGCTGACGCATGACCCGTGGCTCCATCGGTGCGTATCAGCCCCGTCCCAGCCGCGGCCGTGCGCTATCACCCCTCCCCGCCGCCGGCTCGGCAGGGGTCGAGATAGGGAGGAGCGCGCGTGGCGACCTTGACCGTCGTGTCAGCAGGTCGGCCGCGGGGTGGGCGGGGCGTGCTTGGTGACCTCCC